CTTTTATCTGTATGAGGGAGAGGTTAAAGGGAAAAAACGTTTTGGTTTGGGAACGTTTGTAAGTGCATGACGTCCGGGATTGAACGCTATGAGCCTACGAACGTTCCCGAAACCAAAACCATCTGTACCTGTTGAGGCCCAGTGAATCGTTCTGGGCACTGATCCGGGGCCGGGGCCCGTCAGGATTGCGGCGGGCACCGGGCCTGAACTCGTGTCCGAGGGTTTCGCCTCTGTACCGCGGGGCCGCGCGGAGCAGGAAGTGTGTGGGGTGGATCCCGGAGGAGCTCCGGCTCGGAGCCCCGGGGAGACGGCCCCGCTCGGACCGCCATCCCCCGCGGTGGGCTGGGGTCCCGGTCCGGCTGGTGCAGTCACGGCCCGAACTCGCCCGACGAGCGCCGGGTTCGAGCGCCGGCTTTTACCCCTCCCGGTTTTTCCCTTTCAGTGCAACGGGATGTCGAACAGGTTCTGGGGATGGGGCAGGGAGGATGACGAGTTCTACAGACGTCTGAAAATGGCAGGGCTACAGGTAACCTGTCTAACTTCCATCTGTTCGGTTGTGCAGCCTGCCTTGTGAACATCGTCTGATAAACCACAGTATCGGACAGATTTGGAATAATGATGGATTCCTCAAGGTCAAATACAGTATTCCACACTTCTGAAATGTTTACAAGTCTTCACACCTCGTGTTTTTTTTCAAATGCTACTTTTAATGGCTTCCTTTGAAAACGTCGGTTATTTGCAGCATGTAATATGCTGTAGATGTCTTCAGGGATCTGTGAAAACACACGGAATGACACCCAAATGTTCTGCTTCTCGCCATGCTTTTCCAAGGCCAGACTCCTGGAGTGTGAAAGAGGACGATTACCCATGCATCTATTCTGTCTTGCTAGCTGCGCGCCTTGAAATTTGTACAGATTCTTTGACAACTTACTCCATTAGCAAGAAAAAGAAGACTAATTCTATAGCAGTTGGATGGGTGCATGGTTCAGAGACCTTTAGACATATCAGCTAAGGTACTTAAGATGTAAAAGAGCAAAATATGTATAATTTTTTCCATCACCCATGCTTTTTTTCTTCTGTCAGCTTTTAGTTCATAGAAAGCAGAAAATCCCTCAAGCAACACTTTCCTCTTCTGACTCTTATGCCTTGATGCTGATCTTTCCTGACGTACCAGTTTCATTGCCGTAGTTTCATCGCCCCCTTTTCACTCGCGTTCTTGTCCAAATCCAGCTTTTCCGCCCGAGCGGAATAACCACGGGGTACGAGACATTCCGGCACATCCACGACCCCGCCTGGAGGAAGCGGGACCAGAAGAGAGTGGCGGCGCAGAAGCAGGTAGGCGCGGCCGTGCCGTGCGGTGCAGCGCCCCGAGCGGCCACTAGGTGTCGGGCAGGCGCAAGAGCAGCCTGCGAGCTGCGCTTGAGGTGAATTGAACAGGGCGAGAGGCGCTGCACACTGGCCCTTGCTGGTTAAGGCGACCGGAGAGCGAGAGCGATGGGGAACGTTATCTGTCCAGACAGGGAGTCACAGGGAAAACTTGGAAGGCATGCATCAGTTCAGAGAGGGATTAAATTAAAAGGTGAAAGAAACCCACGCACTCCTGTTTTTAGTCCACCAATATCAAGCAGCATCACAACAAAGTCTAATTTTATAAAGCTTTCAGAGGAAAATGTTT